TAATAAGAAAGGAGACCAAACAGAGCAGTGGGGGTTCAACAACTGATTTATTTAACAAAAGTAAGGATTTACTAAAGCAAGTTAGTGAACAGAAAATGGCCATCTCAAGGTTTTACTCGGATGTCCCTCAGCAGGGTGCAGCACTGTTGAAGGTCATCTGAATGAAAGCTTGATATGCAGTTTCTTTATGAAAGTGTGTAAATATACAGTGTGGTTGCCGTACATATGTTGAGGTTCTCAGACATCAGGCTTCTTTGCCCAGGCCTTCACTAGTGGGCTATTTTAAAAGTTGGTAAGGAGAAAAACCACAGCATATAGCTGATTGTTTACAAATGCAAGGAGGGGAATAACAATCAAAATGCTTGTGTTCTTGGACCAGATGAATGGAGCGCTCCACATGCACTCAGAGATGTTATGGCTTCTGTTTCTATAACTTTACATGCAGACATTTGAGGTTTGCCAGAAAGGAAAGCTGGCCTGTACACTTTGCAGGGCACAATGTCATCAATGAAGAAACCCCTGTCTACCAAGATGACCATCTCTAGTTGTAGCATTTTCAACACACCAGATTCCCAGGTTGGTCGCTGATAGTTCCAGCATACAGTGCTGAGACAAAGGTCACTGGCCTATGTGGCACAATCCAAATGAGCCTCTTCAGAGTGCAGTTGAACTTGAGGAAAATATATGACTCTGGAAGAGAGGGGAATATGGCCATTGACACCTCAGATCAGTGCAGTCAAGAATTACTGGTGTTTGGGTAGTCCTGAACGTGTTGTGATGCCCCCACCGTCTCATTGGGTTTTCATTTGTGTTTAATTGTGTTTTTCTTCTGTTGTAGGCAGCTGGTTAAGCAGCCTTGGAGGCACCTGGGCTCAGGGTGTGGTGCTGCCTACAAAGCCTACTGTTTTTCTGCTTTCACTGGGTCTCTCTCCTGTGTGGTGGAGAGTCCTCACTGGCCATTTTCTGTTCACTAACTTGCTTTAGTAAATCCTTACTTTTGTTAAATAAATCAGTTGTTGAACCCCCACTCCTCTGTTTGGTCTCCTTTCTTATTACAGCCCACCACTTCCAGTCTGGGTTGTAACAATCTGCAGACAGATTTCTGAGTATCTCCTCCTTTGGTACACAGATCCTCACTGAGCCATGTACTGTGAACAAATAGTTTCTCCATGATATTATCCAGCAAGGTCCCGTTTTTGTCAAAACAAGGGTGAGGTAATGAAAAAATAGAAATATTTCACTAAATTAACATTTAAATTATTTATATGCATCATTAAAAAAAAACATGTTTTGAAATATATAAAGTGCACCAAACTTGACTCAGTCCATTCAACAATTCTAAATGGACAATTATGTAACTCATCAATTAATTATTTGAAAGGATAATTTGTCAATTAAATACTGAAAAAAATAAACAATTCATTAATGAGGCAAGAACTTTTCTCTCTCTGTCTCTCTCTCTCTCTCTGGAAGCCCCACTCTAAGGGAGTTTGCAGTGTATTAGTGAGTCATATATTGTACAACCACAGTCATAAAGTTTTCAATCAGTAGTTTTATTTCAGTATGTATTTTTCCAGTATCACAAAAAATGTAATTTTCTATGGTTAAAACCATCTAGCTTATGTGCACTTTTTAAAACACTGCCCAGCAAACATTCGGACGTTTAATGACAGTTGAACGGTCACAACTGTAAAATACCTGAAATTAAGAAAAATTGACATGACATCTACTGCATTTTCCTTGCCCGGCCTCGAACCCGGATCCTCCAGGGCGAGAGTCACCCGCTCTCCCAACTGAGCTATGCCAGCAACTGCTTGAATAGCAGACTTTTTTGTATAGATAGGTAGAGGGTAAAGTGCGGGGTACACTAACCAATCAGAGGACAGAGAAGATCTGCCACAGGCCACGCCTCCAGAGTGCCAAAACCCTTACAGCCGAGCGAGCAGGAGTCAGAAACCGAGCGCGCAGAGAGGCTGCCGAGCGCGCACAGAGGCTGCCGCGCGCGCACGTTTTCCTCTGCCGTGTGCTCGTTGACAACGCGCGCACGCAGGTTTGTCACTTGTGCACATCCTTGTGCGCTCACAGACACAGTTTGCTCCCTCTCTGTGCACAAATGACCTCTCGCCATGTATATTTTCGCTCGCGAGTCCCGTTCACACGCGCGCGAGTCCCGTTCACACGCGCGCTGCCATGTATATTTGCGCTCGCGAGTCCCGTTCACACGCGCGCTGTGGACCCAATGCGCGTGCACGGGTTGTGGCACGCTTTAAACGCCATACATGAGGCACGATCAGCTCCAGAGAGACTAAAAGACCTGATTCCAGCCTAAACACCTGGGATGGTCGAGGACATGAAAATGGTTGTGCTAACAGGAAACTATCTGACGTGTCTCCTGTATCAGTCACAAGTTTCCAACAGCTAAGAGGTGTAAGTTGCATCCAGATTAACAAAACACAACCACGAGTAAGAAGGTATGACGGTGTGTCAAAAGGAGAGGAGTTACACAATGTTCAGTAGAATCACAAGGACACAGGATTCTAACACACACACACACACACACACACACACACACACACACACCCTAAGGCAGATGAATCACAGGTCAATAAGTCGCTGCTTAATTGTTTTTCACACCAAAGAACAATCCAGGTAACTTGATGTATTTTAAACAAAAAACTGATTGTTTCAAGCTCAGGAGGAGAACATCTGCTGGATTTTGACTCTTTAAATCAGGGGTCTGCAACCCACGGCTCTTTCATCCATCTGATGCAGCTCTCTGCTTGTAAACTAATTAATGAATATTTAATTACAATGTATTTATTTTACTGCATTCATTTTTTTATCTGTAGCCAGTTCTTAATTTAAAGATTGTCTGCGTAAACTGTAACAGGTCTGCGCTGCGCTGAGCTCAGTGTCCCTCTCAGATGTTCTAATGGGAATCTTTTCCTGATTGATGTAGCTACCTCCATGATGTGCGTAACGATTAAAATGTCAGCGCATCTGCAGGCTTGAGATTTCTCCATCAAAACAAACAATCAAATACGGGAAATATCCGGTCAGTGTGAACCCTGTCATTTAACTGTTACATTCTTGTGAAGATAGTTGCAAACAGAAATATTAAACCTGATTAACACCACAGCCACGCACACTGCGCCGTTATCTCGGTCAGTGTAAATGAGTGTAGCGTGATGAATTGTCCATTTCTGACCTTAAAGGCCCTGCTCCGTTTTGCTCTGCTCAAAGCAAAACCAGAAGTTTCTGACACAAAACTAATCTGCATGAGATATTGCTCAAGGTCTCATGCTCTGCTTCTAAACTGTTTCTTCCTTTCCAGCTCAAGAGAAGAATGAAGACAAAGGACTCTTTCTTTTAATAAATCATAACAACTCTATTTTTAATAAAGCTAATCAAACAAAGTGTTAGTCCAATAATAAAATGTGAACCAATCTGTGAAATGACAATGTTTATGATCAGTAGTTATAATGAGTAATATAACTTTAAATATTTCCACTAGGCATTCTCATCCACGTAATGTTAAGAAACACATGACACATTTCCTTTTTCTGATCCAATCAGAGCCTTCCAGATCTGAGGCGAGGCGTGGTTATGGTGGTGCTTGGTAAATCCCCTCTTGGTGTCCCTTTTTGATTCGACCGTAAATCAAAACATCCAAATTATAAAACTATGCCCACGTCATCTTAAACTTCAGTTCAAGCTTTCTAGAGAAGTTGTCGGAGTGGCCAATCCGTAACTTTCCTCTTCAGCCAAAAGAACCAACGACAAGCTGGATTAAATCTGTTGCTGTTCCACCTGCTGCAACGGTTCCTTTCAGAATAAAAGCTGAACCATCACGACCCCGTTTCTGGGTCTTGCTAGATGCCAATAAATCTGTCGCGATCCGGAAGTATCTCAAGACTGGTTTGAGTCGGCAACCGCTGCTTTTCCTACTGGCTTCGGTTCCAGAGAGGGTCAAGCTGGACCTCGACATTCCTGATCTAACGGGGACTTCCGCTAAGGGTATGAAGGCCGGCAGAATGGCGTCTCAATGTGTGTTATAAGTCTCCAAACCAAAGCTTAGCGCAAAACATCATCTTCACTCCCAACAGAACTAATCGTTTCTCCAGATTTGCTGGTTCTGAACATCTCACACAAACACCATCATCAGTCTTACTTCACCGTAGTTACATCATACGTTTAGTGTTTAAAGTTAGTCTAGTTTTAATTTGTTTAGCAATAAATCTTTAAACTTTTAAAACTTGACTCTCTTTCTTTTGTCTCTGCGTTAATACGAAGTGGTTACATAATCCCTGCAATAAAACGTTCCAATCTTCTGGTTTAAGTTATCCAAAGATCCATAAGATTGACTTCATATTTCCTATGGAATCTCACATTTTATGGTTCATTAAATAATATGTAAATTTAATCATTACATGAGGGGGAAAAAAACTAATTGATTGGATCATTTTCTTACCTTTTCAACAATGTTTAATGCAAAGTTTAGTTCAGTACAAAGTTTATTTACAACAGTCCAACGAGACAGAGCCTGGATTTGTATTCTGAACAGTTATGTGTGACGCCTCAAATAGCGTCACCTGCTCAACTATTAAAACCACTAGCAGGGTGAAAAATATCGAAATATTGTAGCACAGACGGGCTACAACTTTTGGATAAATTTTATACAAACTGTTTTATTAATTATCTTCTGTTGAAAGATAACTCTGAGGTACATGAACGACTAGTATTGGCTGCTGTCATCTGTTGCGATCGGTTAAAGCAGCTCTCTGCTGTCTAAGGGTAGGCCCCGCCCACAACGCCGCTGTGGCTCCCAGTGTTTTCTTTACTGTGGGAAATGGGTAATAATGGCTCTTTGATGGGAAAAGGTTGCCGACCCCTGCTTTATATGCACCAACCTACATTTTAATCACTAATGCTTATATTAGTTCTGATTAATGACCGTACAATTAGATTCAATGGTTCTGAATGCACCCCAGATTATTTACCTTTGCACCCAAACTCAAGGAGAGGATGGTGTCCTCGAAAGCAGAGTGAGTGTCCACATGAGGAGGAATACCTGAAAATGTAATAAAAAAATGTTTTATTATTTAAAAAATGTGATTAAAATCATTGAATTAAAAAACAGTCACGTTCTGATTAAACATAAAAGTGATGCATGACATTAAAACATGTACAGGTTCTGGATTTATAAAGTCAGATTTCCCTTAGAAGGGCTCTGCTGCCCCCTGGTGGTTTGAAAGTAAAATTCAAAAGCAAAATGATCTATAAAAAACGATGTTCTGTTAACATGTTGGACATTTAAGCTGAGTAATAAAGACGTTAAAAAACCTGCTTCACACTTAAAATATTAATACTGAATCATAAATGATCATGTTCAGAACAGGTTGTGCTGTTAGTATGTAGACATTCAGCTTTTAGCCAGTCATATCTAAACTGTGTAATATGTTGATGTGTGTGAAATTAACTCAAACAGGAAGTAAAACGTGAATAAACTCACCCTGACCAGACTCGTACTGGTTAATGGTCAGTTGATCTGGCATGATGTTAATGTGTCCATCCCTCAAACAGCGCTCTAAAACAGGTAAGCACTCCCCAGGAAGACCTGGACACAAATACCTCCCTGTAACCTCCAACCAGTATTAGTATAACAATCATCTGATAACAACCAGCATTTCTTTAAATTAAACCTTCACTATTTGTATTTTAAGAGATCTAGAGAAAGATGCAACAAATTACATAAAACTGTGATTAAACAGTAACATTTAAATAAAAACGATGGCACTTACATGCAGGCAACGGCTTGTCCTTGTCCACATTGTTGTTATCGTAGCGAAATTCAAAACCGTAATGCTTGACTCTCCTGTGCTTCAAAGCTTTTTGAGCTAAAAGTTTGTGTAAAGGAGGGGGAGGGGGGACATTTAATTATGTGTTAGCATTGGAACTGGAGCAATGAGTTTTGATTCATCTCTGATTATGATGAGAAACATGTTAATGACTGATTCTAAAGGGTCATTATTTCTTTATGTGTTTTTATTTGTTATCGCTGGGCTACATTTTAAATTTGCACCTGAACCTGAGACATCTTCATGAGCAGATGACCAGTCCACGGCAGCGAGCAGCTGAGCCTCTTCCTCTGGAGACACAAAGTCTTCCACCAAGACTAATCCCTGTGGCAAAGTCTCAGCCACTGCCTTCTGGTGGGTTACTGAACAAAAACATGAAGTTACAATTACAGGCTGAATGCAAACATTTCTGGAGATGATGATTTTCAGCCACTGTATTTGTATTGTGTGTTTTATTGCGAAAGGTGAGTACCTGAGTTGACATAACTGAGGTAGAGCACAACGCTGTTCTCTGCACACAGCAGCTTCTGCCCGTTCAGCCGGGTGTGGGCGTTCGTAGCATCCTCTTCACATCTGGAAGAGAATGACTTTTACAAAAATAATAAAACCCCAAATCTGAGTTAAACAAAGTCGCCTTCTCCTGCAGCAAAATACAGCTAATCCCTATCTATATACGGACTAAAGCAGTTTAAATACTTAAATACATTTTTTGTTCTTTTTGGGTCTTTTTTCTCAGCTGCAGATGATGCCCTCTCTCACTGACCTCCAATGCTGTAAAAGCAGACCCATTAGCCGTTATTACCTTCAGTCCATCTGAATAAAAATCATTTTAAGCCGCAACATTTACAGGGCCTTTGGAAAAATTACAGTTTATGATTTTTGATGAACATCTATGGAAGAGGATAAGGTGCACTGAAGTAAAAGTTCTCTATTTTCTTCCTCCGATTTCAGAGAATAATGTGAGAATTCTGAGAAACAATATCTGAAAATTGGGCTTCTGACATTTTTCCAAAATTAAAGAGCAAGTCACCCCCTACCAGAGCAGCACTCCACTCCCATTTCCTGTTTGAAAAATGCAACAAATGCTGTTGCCTGGCAGACCGAGAGGGCAGAGGTGCTAACAAATACACACACACACACACACAGATTCACAACCGCATTGTTACATCATGTACCAGCTAACGTCATAGTGTACCTCTTAGCCAGCAGCAACGGTAGATTAAAATTCAAATGCAGTAGTGAATTTTGCACCTGAAGAGTTTTTACTGAGAGTTTTGGGCAGAATATTTAAATTTTAACTTAAGCCTGGGGCACACTGGAGACAGATGCTCCACGGTTTTGGGACGTTAAATGGTCACACAGGACGCGTTGCGCAGCACTTCTTGGAAAGTCGTGCGAACATCACACAGAACTTAAGAAAAGGAAGAGGGAAGTGACTCTATTGTTTATAGGAGATCAGACTTGCCGTTGTGTTTTGTGAGGCTCTAATTCACTAAAAATGGGTACGTATGCTATTCATTAGAATATTTTAAGATCAAGTTATCAAAACTGCAGCTGGGTTTGTTCCATGAAGCCGTTCCGTGTCATAATGTCTGTACAACATTGTCTCCAAAATGTTGTCAACAGCCACGGCACGTGGAATAGAACTGATGCCCATCTTCAGCACTTCTGTGACGCAGCGCGGCGCTCCCCATGTAGCCACTCTCTTTAACTATAATGGCCTCTATTTAAAATAATGGCGCGAAGCATCTGTCTCCGGTGTGCCTCAGGCTTAAGATGCACTAAAGTGCCAAATTATTGAATAGACGTGTCTACAGCACGATTAGACACTCATTTATATGGTTTATCAGCAAAAGTAGTTGATTTGGGGGTGACTTGCTCTTTAAAATTAGATTCTTTATTCTCTTCCATAAATATCTACAATTAGAGATAGGGACAGCAGTAGCTCAGGAGGTAGAGCGGGATGTCCAGGCTGCAGGTTCGATCCCAGCTCCCACCAGAGAATGCTGTTGTTGTGTCCTTGGGCAAGACGCTTAACCCGCTCTGCCGGCTGGTGGTGGTCGGAGGGACCGGTGGTCACATCAACAGCATGTGAATGGGTGAATGACTGATTGTGTTGTGAAGTGCCTTGCGGGGTTGTAGAACCCTAAGAAGGCACTGTACAATTGCAGGCCATTTACCATTTATAGAGATGTTTTATCATTTGTCAAAATTCACTATCTTGTTTCTATTTTTAATTTTTTAGATAAAAATCGTTCCATGGATCTTTTGTTTTCTAAGAGGTGTTGATGTTTGTTAAAAAATTGTGTAAAAAAAACTAATTAAATGGTACTTTTCCTTTTTTCTGTTGTGGAATTTCAATGCAATTATTCAATTAATAACATGAAAAACTACTTAAATTAAAAAATATATATTATGTATATTTAAAAGCATCAGTATTTATTTTCAGCCAAAGATATTCAGAGCCACCGTGGAAGGTCCAAAGAGCCACTTATAGCACCAGAGCCACAGGTTGCAGATCCCTGGCCTAGGTAACACAGGCAACAATCAGGTGTTGCCTGTGTTACCAGATTGATTGTAAACCAGTCTGCTCACAAATATAGTCCAATTGTTTCTTTTTATTCCCCTTTAACTTCCTCTGAAGAAGAAACCATAGAAAAAAAGTGAGGATTTTATAATGATTTTGGAGAGTAGTAGTAGTTTCTTCAAAAGTGACCAAATAGGCAACTTTAGTGCTCTTTAACTGTTGTGCATACAGTGATCCTAAAGTACACAACTCCAAAACATACATTTCATTAAAAAATTGTATTTAAGGAAGCAAAAGAGAAAACTTTAAGAAAACACTTCCTGTTTTATTTCACATGTAGATAAATTATCTAGACTGAACTGCTTTTCTGCAGAGCCTTGTTGAAGTTCAGCCTCTAACAAGGAAAAGTAATCACTTGCTGTTTAAATAGTTGCACCAACAAGAGAAAACGTTCTTATGATAAAAGTAGAGTCCACATCCCAGCTGTACCTGTAGGTGACAAACGCGAAGGGCTTGTGTGGAGGCATGACCAGGTTCTCCATCGCTCCCATCTCTCTGAGCACAGCAGAGAGCTCCTCACGACTGACTCCATTTCCCAGACCGCCATTAGCCACAACCAAACTCTTTAAGTAAATAATGTCAAACAGGACAGAGACAACAGAATTTTATTCATTATATATATATATATATATATATATATATATATATATATATATATATTAGATATGCATTAGACTGTAAAACATTAAAATAAAGGAAAGCTCAACAAGACACTCAACTTGTAGCAACCTGTCATAACTTTCACACAAAATGTATTGCTTTATTATTTATATGAAACACTGATCAGAATTTTAAATTACATTTTAAAGGTTGTCCAAATGATAAATTAGTTCTATTTATAAAGTATGATCTGTAAACATCTCAGGAAAAATGTGTCCAAATGGAAAGACCTCTTTAAATATACACTGCTACGTGTAAATATTTTATTTATCCAAGATTTGTTGGTGGAAAACTAAAATTTGTAGGTAAACGTATCCGAGTTACCCCAACAGCAGAAACCAGTCCATCCATGCTCGTTTTAGCTAACTTCCTGTTGTGTTTAACTAATATTTGAACAGTATATTCTGCTTACTTTGGTAGGCTGCCGTGTTGTCCTAATGCCTTCATGTTTCAGTAAAGTGTGACTGGCTCTGAGCTGTTTTCTGAACACTTTCTTCTCTTCTTTACTCCTTCTTCCAGCCTTCACGTAGTTACCTTCACACTCCATGGTTCGTTATCTAAAGCTGTCCGGGTGAAACACGCACCGAAACGAAGCGTTTCCTACGCGGACCTGAGCAGTGAGGAAGAAGAGATCGGGTTTACCCAGTAATTTCAGGGGTTTACCTAAAACAGTTACAAAAACGAAAGATAACAAATGAGACATAAAAATATGCTAATAGAAACAAATGTAGACATAAGACGCAATAAGCTGCAATATGATCTAAATAAGAAATATTAGCAAAACTAGTTCAAAATAAATAATAATCAAAACAGGACATAAAATGACCGTGAAGTTGTTGGTTCGAATCCATAAGATCATGCGTGTGTGGGTTTCTGGCCCTGAATGTAATCATAACAAAATCTATTTTCTGGTAAGAATTGACGTCAAGAATGTTATAACCTTAACAATTTAAAATATATAACTTAAAATAACATTTCTGCAATGAACATAAAGGTCAAATTTAAGTGAATGAAAATAAATAGATTTTTTTCTTTTTGTATGTTTTGCTCATAATTAACAATTATATAATAAAGTATTTTTTAATTGAATCGTGTTGTTTCTACATAGCAAAAAGTGATTACAGCCTCCTTTTTTTCTGTAAAAGTAAATCTGCCTTAATTTTACTTTATTTCTCTGTTATAGAATTTATTCTACACATCAAAGCACACTGAGGCATTTGCATCATCTTGATAAATAATTCAAAAATGGCTAAAACTGGACATTCTCTGCCAGACTAGTTGACATTTTGGCAAATCTAAAGCCTTTGGGAATTCCCCCTCAGTACCCAGTTCACACACGTCTCACTTCAAGATTTTTACAAAAGTTGTGAAAATGATGTAAATGTAATTGCAAACCCCAGAATGATGGAAGGTGATCAAACTGAGACAAAACCTTCATAGACACCCTAAAAATAGAATGAGACCAGATTGAAATTACAAATATTTGAGAGTTAGAAAGGAACACAAAGTGATGAATCTCATTCATTCACATTTGTTTGTTCCTATTCTGGTCTCGGTTTGCTTCCCCTTCAGCTTAGATCCTTTTGTGCATCTGAGTCTGCTCCAGCTTGTGTCTCTCTACTTGGGAGCATTTGTTTGTCCCCCTGAGCCAACGCGTTTATAGATAGGTCAGTTGTGTAATTGAGCTCTCACCTGTCCCTGGCCATCTCCTGTGCCAGGATGAGCCGTTGGGCAGCAGGAGGCCTCTGTTGTTGTAACGGAGAGCTCTGTTAACTCTGCTAAACAACAGCTGTTCAGAGCAGGAGACCACACGGGTGCCCTCTCTAGCATAAAAACAATTATTTTCCATATGTTGTATAAGTGGAAACAATGAAGTGCTGGAGCCTGAAATGTAAATGAAGCTGTAAAACTTGCAGGTGCTTGAAGAGACACTGGTTTTCTCTCACCGTGCCTTGATTAAAGGCAGCTCCAGTGAGAAAGTGAAATCCTTTGTTCAAGCTGGTGCATGTCATCACCCTTTTGAATGCAGGACCAGCAGCCAAACTTCTGTTGCTGGCATCTAATTATTTTAACTATGATGGATGGACGAAGAAACCTGGTCCTGTCTTTTAAAATAGAAGTGCTGACATCTAAAGGTCTCCAGGGATTTCCACATAGAGACTCATTAAAATTGAGACAAGTGAGACGTTGGTGGACATCAGTCAAAACTGGGAGGGTGTGATTGGGAAGAACTTCTACTGTCCACAACAAACATCTTATTCACCACTGGGATGCACTTGGCACCAGGACATCACAGGCGATTGGCTGGTGATCCCTTTTGTCTGGGTCTCAAGGGTGAAGAGAAGCGCTGAGTTATTAGCTGATCACCGTCAGATGGGGAATTTGGATCAGGTGGTTGGGGAAAGGGCCAGATATGCTCTCTTCGCCCAATCAGCTGTTGATGGTGAACTGGAAGTATCTGGTAGGGATCATAGTCTAAGGCAGGGGTGCTCACACTTTTTCAGCTTGCGAGCTACTTATAAAATGACCAAGTCAAAATGATCTACCCTACTACAAAACATGCATAACCACATGAGCCAATATAGCCATGAGTCAGTCGTCAACACAGCATAATTAACTATGTAAACTTTTGTCATTACCTGAGTTTACTCTGATGACTTGCACTGAATGGAATTAGCCAGGGATGCACAGTCCGGACAGTAACAGCTCACAGTCAGCCTCAAGCACACTTCCAGATTTTCATCAGTCATGGTGGGACGGTACTTGGACTTGATGATCTTCATGTGTGAAAAGGCTGACTCACATAAGTAGGTGGAGCTGAAAAATGCAGTCAGAAACACGGCACATTTCCTCATGTTGGGGTACTTAACCTCTGTGAGTAAGTTCCAGAACTGTTCATGAGCTCTGGACTTCAGCTGAATGTCGGCTTGTAATGTCAAAATCTCATCTTCCACTTGAGGAGCGTTCAGGTGAAACAGTCTTGCAATTTTTGATGAAAGTGAATCAACCTCAGCATCTTCCCGAAAAGGATAGCACATGACTGTAGCAACTGGCTCGAGCAAAGTAAAGTCTTGAAAGCGTTTGTCAAACTCTGACAAACAACTGTCAATCTGCTCTCCTCCCATTCCGTTCGAAAGTGATACGTTTTTCCTTTTACACAGGCCACTCATTTTACCTTTCTGAAGAAAGCCGAGCGCTTAGACTCTAAGGGATCTTCAACTACCAGAAAATTTGGAGAACACAGAAGCCGCACTAATTCTAGATGGGCCACATCTTAAGCCTAGCCTGGCAAGCTGCTGTCCCATATATGTAATTATAAAGTCTGGCCATGACCCACAGACAGATCTCAGTCGTTGGGCAGAATCTACAGTTGTCTTCAAACTGTCTCCACAAGCACCTAGACAGCACTAGGACCAAACAGAGAAAAATGACATTTTCATCGCTAAGGAAATCATTCCTAAGGGCAGTCTGCCATATTCCAAAGAAAAAAAGCCCAAGTCTAAATCATCCAATGTTGATGTCAAAGCTGTTTAAAACAAGGACCGTTCCTTAGCTGACGCCATCTTTGTAGTTTTCTTTCATCGCAGGCTCTGGTGCTAAGCCCACCCAACGTCTCTCTACAAACAGAGCACTGTGATTGGCCCAACCTAAAACTGTTCTAGCCAATGGTAGACCCGCTGAGACTGTAATGGAGCATGGCTAGAACGACCTGCAGAGACCTTTGCTTCTGCAAAAGTTGGTCTAGATTTCTTGGCTAGGTTCAGCCTGTTTTGAAGAATGGTTTCTGAAAGTGACTGAGAAGATAACCTCTCCATAAAATTGTATTATTCACAAATGAGACAGTCGGACCGTGAAAATGTGTGTACTCTGACCTGGATTGAATCTGACTTTTGGATGATTCCTTATAGATTCTGGTGAACCACAATGTGTCTGATGTGAAAATTGCTGTTTGCTAATGTTTGTGTTGGGGGTGATCTCCAAAAATGACATACATATTACAATGCTGAAAGCAAAAAATTAAGATTAAACCAGATAACGGAGAACTATTTAACAATAAACCTTTATTGAAAATGTTAACATTGCATTATTCATTCTGGGAAAAATCATTCAAGCTACATTTTGAAAAAAAAAAATAAAAATAAAATAAAATAAAATAAAATAAATCTGTCCAACCCGTTTCTCCAGACTCCCCGCTAGTCACAGAATCTGATGCTTGCAGAAAACAAGCAGCACTAGCTTGTGACATGCACAAGCAGACATGCAGTTTTGCTGAGCTGCTGAGGTCAAAAGATTAAAAACATGATTGAAAAATATAGGAAAATTTTAAAATTGTACTTAAAATTGTGAGGAATGGGAAAAAGAAAATGAATAAGGCAGAACTGGTAGAAAGAGCACAATAAGGAGAGGGTAGCAATGAAGGTCACACCAAAGCAGCCTGAACAGGTGAATTTTCAGCTGCTTTTTAAAGGAGACCACTGAGTCCACTGATCTCAGGCTCAGGGGGAGAGAGTTCCAGAGTCTGGGGGCCACAGCAGCAAATGATCTGTCACCTTTGGTCTTTAGCCTGGTGCGCTGCACAACCAGTAGGCTTTGATCACTGGACCTCAGGGACCTGTTGGGGGTGGAGGGACTAAGAAGATCACCAATGTAAGATGGTGCTTGTCCATGTAAGGTCCTATAGTCCAGAACCAGGATCTTGAAATGAACCCTGACGTTGACTGGCAGCCAGTGAAGTTGGAGGAGAAGCGGGGTGATGTGGGTGTGTTTGGAGGACTTGGTCAGAAGCCGAGCACATGTCACAAACAGAACTTCAGAACACCCGTGAAGACGCCAAACACAGTAAAAATAGATAAGTCTTTTATTTGTTGTGGAGTTACCAGAGGATGGTGAGGCTGGAGACAGTCGGAGAGGAGGCGAGGGTCAAAACCAGATCGGACACAAAGAAACAGGAAACAGGCAGGAGACGTAGTAGAGGACAGGCGAAGGTCGTGGTGGCAGGCAGAGTACCAGGCAGGGCTCAGGAGAAAAATGAGGTCCGGAGGCAGAGATCAGGCAGGGTGGATGGCTGGAAGATTTTCTTGCAATAGCGTTCAATAATCTGGCAGAGAACTGGTGGCTGACTGGTGAATATATAGCAGGGGAAGCAGGTGTGTGGGATGAGCTGAGGAGTCAGGAGCAGGTGAAGTGAATGAAGCTGATTGTAGTTGGCAGGGAAATGGGGCGTGTCAGGAGCTTAATGAGAGGAACCAGGTGTGCTGCATAAAGACTGAATGAGGAGGCAGAGGAGGGTGAAGGATTGAGAGTCATGACAGCACAGGTATTCTGAACCACCTGTAGATGGTTCTGGGAGGTTTTGCTCAGACAAGTGAAAAGCGAGTTGCAGTTGTCTAAGCATGGATGAAGGTGTGGATAACTGTCTCAAGTTCAGAGCGGGACAGAATGGGACTCAGCTTTGCAATGTTCCTGAAATGGAAGAAGGGAGAGCGAACAAGAGAGCTAACATGAGAATCCAGGGTGAGGGATGGGTCAAAGGTCACACCAAGATTCCTGACAGAAGGTTTGGCGTGAGAAGCAAGCTGATCAAGAGAGTCTCTGACTTTGGGAACCAGCTTGTCTGGGGCCCAGATGAGGATCTCAGTCTTATCTTCATTCAGCTGAAGAAAGCTCCCAGCCATCCAGGCTTTGATAGAGTCTAAGCAGGTGTGGAGCAGCTGCAGCTTAGACATCTCATGGGGCTTAAAGGAGATGTACAGTTGGATGTCATCTGCATAAAGATGGTAGAAGATTAATTTCACTCATTAACTGTCATTGACAACTAAAGTTCTCATTTTAAATCCAACCGTTCTGCGCTATTGAAAACTAAAGTCGTCAATTGTATTTTTAACGGGGCAGACCAGGAAATAAGCCCCCGCACCATGAGAGTAAACATCACGGGTCTAAAGCTGATCTTCACCCATGTGTGTCACATGCTACTTGACCAGGAATCAGATAGAGGAGGAAACGCAGAGGCCCCAGCACAGAACCTTGTGGGACACCATGGGTGATGGAGGTGGTAGAGGACTGAAACTTGGAGACGGCCACAGAGAAGGAACACTCAGGCAGACAATAGGGGAACTACCCCAGAGCAGTTCCTGATCGGCCTACCCAGTCTCTCGGCCTCTCCAGTAGCAGGTGATGGTCAACAGTGTCAAAGGCTGCAGTCAGGTCCAGCAGGACCAGAACAGAACAGTCCCCTGCATCACTGTGAGTCAGAAGTTCATTAGAGACCCTAAGAAGAGCTGTTTCAGTAGAATGAGCTCTACGAATCCTGGCTGTTAACAAAATAATGGCATTACTAGACCAATGTGCAATAGTTCTGTTTTAATTAGGCCTCTGTTTTTAGGTCATGTTTTCTCCTTCCCTTGTGGAAACTTTCAATCCGCTAGCTGTCACTTCATGATATACCGTGGTTCATTACACAAGCACATGTACGTTTTGCGTCCCGCGGATACTGGAATGGTGTCTCTGAGGCCTTGTTGACACCCAGTGTCTCTCTGCTGAATTAGTTGGTAACCCTGCCAGAGCACGTCCATCCTAAATACACCCACAGCTGCCGTGGGTGAGACATGGTCCGCTCTACAATCACATCCTTCTTTGCGTTACTCAGTAACCTTGGCACCACATATACAACAACAGTGGGAACCCCAGAGTCCAGCAGCCATTGGTCTGAGGCTGGCACCACAGCCAGATAGCATTGCAACCACTTTGATCCCTTAAATCCTTTGGGAATGACCCTGGAATTCCTTGATGGAAAAGTTCAAGGGAGCTGTACATATGCTTTGTCCTGCCATGCTCCCTCTGAGTGCAGGAGAAGGTGTGCATGTCGCGAGGGCTTTACACTCGTTCAGAGATAACACCGTTCTTAGCAGCTGCCAAGTGTGAGAGGAGCTGAGGGGTATGCTGTTGGGAGCTGTCAAAGCTGTTTTCTTTGAACTTATACAGCAAAAAGTCCTGATCCGCGTATGGTAGGGGGAGAAAACTATTCAATTCTAGTAAAAAAAAATAAAAACTTAGTTTATTAATTCATTAACAAAACAACTTTTCAGTTTGATTCCAAAAATATTACATGAGGGAATTTCACCATTTTGGCTGCAAATTTTGTGATATGATCCAAAACACCTTTTGTGCAAAAGACTCGTTATCGTTATGCAGTTTTATTCAGGAGGATGACACAAGTTTGATTAAAGTTTTTAATAAATCTCACTCCATCTTGGGTTTTAAAGCTTTTCCTTTTTCCTCCCGACAACTAAAACATTTTTCTTGCTCGCAAAAATTTGCTCTGAATTAACCATTTTCATCTGTTTCTAACATCGATAATGATGATGCATGTTTTATTTTGGAGTAGCTGCTCCATTATTCTGTCCTCAGGGCATAGCCCCCTCCCTGATTCTGAGGGATAGTTAGAGTTTCCTACACCCATCAGTATATTGTGTTTGGAACGACTGTAATCCACCAAGTATCTGCAACAAGGTTGTAAAAATAACCCTTCTCTGTTGTTATGGGAGGAAAGGGAGACCTGTTGTGGATGGAAAATACTCCAGCGGATGACACTGTGGTAAATAACAGACTCCGATGGTTGTTTAGTTGGAGTGTGACATCAGTCTGTGTGTACGTGAGCCTTGGGCAGTCCAATGTGAAGGAGGGGAGGGGCCCTGCCTCTGACAAAAGCAGAAAACTGGACAAGAGTGAGGAGATAGGAAGAACCAGCAGAGAGAAGAAGCTTCCAGTGGGAAGACGAGAGGCTTCTGTGAAGCAAAGAGTAAAGATCTCCTCTTTTCCTGCTTGGGGGGACACCCTTGCACATATTGTTAAGGTAAGAGTCCAGGAGTTTGATCTCCTCATATTCTCCAGCTCGTGTTAGGGTACATTAACAGTTTCCATCTTCTTTCTAACAAAACATTTTACTGTTCCTGTTCTTTTTTTTTTTTTTTTGTCTAGTTTTAGAAAAGTGTCCAAAACCAGAGCCGCACATCTCCACTTCGCCAGTGCCACCCATTCCCTCTCATTCACCATGGACCGCTCGACCCAGGAGTTGTTCCTCAACTTCATGATCGTTTTAATCACGGTGCTGCTCATGTGGCTGCTGGTGAAAACATACCAGGACTGAGGCGTGGAGCAGGAGAGATGTAGGAATGAAGAGCAGCCAGCGAATGAGACTTTGGTGCTGGCTGATTGTTGTATCAATGCAGAGTTTACATTTCTGTTTTTCTTGGTTTGATCCAGAGCTGGAGCTTTCCTTAGACATCAAACACTACCTAAAAGCCAAGACAGCTTGTCTTGGAGTTATATTTTTATTAGGAGAAGGTTTTTGAATGTGTGGCCATGAGCCCATGGGAAGGAAAAGTCTGGAGTGTAAATAAAATAAAAAATAAAAGAGTTTTTGAGACTTTATCTGTGTAAAATGCAGGCAAAGCAACACTTGAATGATAGTGTCTTTTATGTAGCTTTAGATACATGCAACTGTGGATCCTTCTGTTTGTGTGAATGTTACAAAAATACTGCATCTACTCATAAACCAGGATGCAGTTAAATATTTTATTTTATTTCACTTTTTTGTCCATAAAAACTTCTATTTGTGTGATTTTCTGACTTACAGCAGAGTTTTACTAACCACCACAAGGCTCCAGTGGCGATGTAACAGAATGAGCTGACACGTCTAGTTTAATCCGATTAAAAGATAAGATGTAGATGGTGCATATTGGGAGAACACGCTGAAGATTGATGTGATTTTTCACAATTTCAAACAAAATAATATCCTTTTATATGTTAGCTGTAGGACAGCTGACAGTTTTACACATCACATTACATCTAAGAGCACATTTCCCACCTGAATTATAACAAGACAAAAATATTTTAGGGTTCCTCCATAGGAGGGGACATTTAGATTGGCACAAAAGCACAACATGAGACCAGGAGTTTCACAAATACGCTTTGTTTTTTTCTTCCAAGTTATACTTATTTGAAATTTAAAATAAAGTGTAGATAAGGAGCTATTTGGAGGATAGCTGAAAGCAGGCATGTTGTTAGAGCTGTGATTGTTAGCGTTAGCTCTCCACCGCGGCAAGTCAGTGAAGACTTGTGCCGCTTCAGCATTCTGTTTTGTCTATCCCTCCGTGTCACCCCACGGGTCTCTGTATCTGTTGAAGCTGATGAGCTGACAGTGGAACTCAGTGAGTGCTCTGGGCATGGGCGACATTTCCTCCCACTGACTCCTCCCACTGTAGTACACCTGCACAGGTAACAGGAAAACACAAAAGTGAATCCCAATCAAAGTTTATGACCAGGTGATGAAAAACAATGTATTAAAAACATTTTTTATTTAAACACAAGAGTTTCAGCAAATTCTTTTTAAAGGGTTAGGAGTCTAAATTTCATACAGGAAATCCAGACCTTGTTTGGCTTAATTTGCACACGTTTTGGGACTTTTGTTTTTTTTTTTTTCAAATGAAAGAGAAATTTAGAATTATTAAAATCTTTAAAACTGCAGATTATGTTCCTTTTATCATTTCTAAAAGTTGCTCACTAGCCCACCTGTAAATGAACCGGTTTTTATTCCAATTCAAATTCAACTTTATTTATAAAGTGCTTTCACATGCCCAAAAGGACAAACAAAGTGCTGTACACCAATAAAAACAAACATGCATAAAACCATTGAAATGCCATATAATGGTTGTAACAAATTTTTAAGCACAGTCTGGCCACATTAAGACATTTCAAGGAGCAAATTGAATAAGCAGAAAGCAGCCCAATACCTCAAACAAGTTGGAAGGAATGTTACATTAAAATAGATTTATTTTAAGCTGGCTGGGGGGTTGCCACTTTTTCTTCTTTCAAAAAACTAATAAGGGACGTAGTTACTAGGGATGTGTATTGGTGAAATTATAGCGATACGACACGTATATCACAATGTATTGCGTTGCATTCTGTCAGACGATATTAGCTATTTTTTTAGACTGAATTTATCGTAGGATAATTCAATAAACAGTCCAAACTGATATTTAACATGTTTAACATGAGGTAGCTCAACCATAATAGAGGGATTTACATTACCAACAACTCGATATTCCAGTAAAATGTATGTGTCAAGGGAATAGTGAGTCAATCGTGGCATTTTAGTTCCTTTATTGAGTCATTACGAAATATAACAGCAAGAAGGCAAACATCCGCACTCCACTGACACTATACATCTTCTGGAGGCACGTTATCGTAATAAGTGTAGTAAGTGCTTCCTACCGTAAAAGCCCCAAGAGTACTAACACTAGATATGACAATTTATTTATCTACTTAAAGGGACTTTATGGAGTTTTGAATTTTTATGCTCGCGATTGCCCCCTCAGGCCAAAAGCGTAACGGCAGCTTCAATAGTAGGCTCGTGCACACTCCTTAACGAAAATAAAAGCTGAGACAGTCAGCCCCGTGTGTGTGTGTGTGTGTGTGTGTGTGTGTGTGTGTGGTTTGCACTTGGGCTGCACAGTAGTTAAGAGCTGTTGCCTTGCAGCAAGAAGGTCCTGGGTTCGCTTCCTGGCCTAGGGACTTTCTGCATGGAGTTTGCATGTTCTCCCTGTGCATGCGTGGGTTCTCTCCTCCCACAGTCCAAAAACATGACTGTTAGGTTGATTGGTCTGTCTAAAATGTCCTTAGGTGTGAGTGTGTGTGTGCATGATTGTTTGTCCTGCATGTCTCTGTGTTGCCCTGCGATGGACTGGAACTCTATCCAGGGTGTACCCCGCCTGATTGCCCATTGACCGCTGGAGAAAGGCACCACCACCCCACCCCCCATACACACACTGATCATCAAACACATTTAACCATTAATCAAAGATAACACAAGTAGACACAAAATGCAGTTTTGAAATGGTGGTTTTTATTATTTAGGGAGAGAACAAAATCCAAACCTACATTGCCCTGTGTGAAAAAGTAATTGGCCCCCTTGTTAAAAAATAACCCAACTGTGGTGTTTCACACCTGAGTTCAATTTCTGTAGCCACCCCCAAACCTGATCACTGCCACACCTGTTTCAATCAAGAAATCGCTTGAATATGAGCTGCCTGACACAGAGAAGTAGACCAAAAGCACCTCAAAAGCTAGACATCATGCCAAGATCCAAAGAAATTCAAGAACAAATGAGAACAAAAGTAATTGAGATCTATCAGTCTGGTAAAGGTTATAAAGCCATTTCTAAAGCTTTGGGACTCCAGCGAACCACAGCGAGAGCCATTATCCACAAATGACAACAACATGGAACAGTGGTGAACCTTCCCAGGAGTGGGCGGCCGACCAAAATTACCCCAAGAGCGCAGAGACAACTCATCCGAGAGGTCACAAAAGATCCCAGGACGACTTCTAAAGAACGGCAGGCCTCACTTGCCTCAATTAAGGTCAGTGTTCACGACTCCACCATAAGAAAGAGACTGGGCAAAAATGGCCTGCATGGCAGATTTCCAAGACGCAAACCACTGTTAAGCAAAAAACGTTAGGGCTCGTCTCAATTTTGCTAAGAAACATCTCAATGATTGCCAAGACTTTTGGGAAAATACCTCGTGGACTGATGAGACAAAAGTTGAACTTTTTGGAAGGCAAATGTCCCGTTACATCTGGCGTAGAAGTAACACAGCATTTCAGACAAAGAACATCATACCAACAGTAAATATGGTGGTGGTAGTGTGATGGTCTGGGCTTGTTTTGCTGCTTCAGAAACTGGAAGGCTTGCTGTGATAAATGGAACCATGAATTCTACTGTCTACCAAAACATCCTGAAGGAGAATGTCCGGCCATCTGTTCGTCAACTAAAGCTGAAGCGATCTTGGGTGCTGCAGCAGGACAATGACCCAAAACACACCAGCAAATCCACCTCTGAGTGGCTGAAGAACAACAAAATGAAGACTTTGGAGTGGCCTAGTCAAAGTCCTGACGTGAATCCTATTGAGATGCTATGGCATGACCTTAAAAAGGTGGTTCATGCTAGAAAACCCTCAAATAAAGCTGAATTACAACAATTCTGCAAAGAGGAATGGGCCAAAATTCCTCCAGAGCGCTGAAAAAGACTCATAGCAAGTTATCGCAAAGGCTTGATTGCAGTTATTGCTGCTAAGGGAGGCCCAACCAGTTATTAGGTTCAGGGGGCAATTACTTTTTCACACAGGGCAATGTAGGTTTGGATTTTGTTCTCTCCCTAAATAATAAAAACCATCATTTCAAAACTGCATTTTGTGTTTACTTGTGTTATCTTTGACTAATGGTTAAATGTGTTTGATGATCAGAAACATTTTGTGTGACAAACATGCAAAAGAATAAGAAATCAGGAAGGGGGCAAATAGTTTTTCACACCACTGTAGAAATATATTTTTCTTTTCCTCAACAGCCTCATTTTTCATTAGAATGATACAGTTTTTATTTAATTAACTTTGCCATGTCTATTATAAAGCCTGTTGAAATTATAGCAGCTTCAGCAATCAATAAACTCAAGTTTACCTGAACCTCATCTGTGATTTCATCTGGTGAGTAGTCTCCACCCAGAATGTAGATTCTGTCTCTCAAACCGATGGCTCCTGCATTGAAGCCCGCACATTCAAATGACCCTTCACCTTTCCATACACCCGTCTCTGGGCAAAAACTGTACACCTGTAAGATAAAAACGCACACTTCAATCTCAGTATGTATCTTTTGGTTTTACTTATAAATATCAGTGCTTTTAATCACCCACCAGGTTAAATCTGATGGCTCACCTTATAAGTGGACAGGTCACAGAGGTGCAGTGTATTATTTATCGACACAGCTTTGACCAACGTAGCGTGGAAGAACTGTCCAAACTCTGCCACTAGCCGGCTCCACTGGTCCTGCTGAGCATCGTAGCGAAAGAAACAGTCGAGCGAGGGGTTAAAGGAGTCTGTGATCTCCACCTCAGAGCCTAGCGCATAAATAATACCGCCACAAGCACTGGCCTCTGGGTAAAAGATGGCAGTAGGCAGAGGGCTGACAGAAGACCAGGCCTGAGTCAGAGGGTTGTAATACTCCACCTTAAAAAAAAGATAAGAGAATTGTTTATCCTGATGATACAAAGAAACTAAATCTGATAAGCTACATGAAGAATCTCAGTTACCTCCAAAAGACTCGGGGCCTCCCCTCTGGACCCCCTGGTCCTCCCTCCAATGACATAGACCCGGTCTAAGCAGGTGACGGCCGTGTGCATGGTTCTGGGCTTCAGCATGGGTGGTGCAGGTGTGCAGGTTAAAGTCACGGGACAAAAACACCAAACCTCGTCGATGGCATTGTGGTATGGTTCTGCAACATGTAGGCGAACTGCCCGGCAACAATTTCCCCGACAACCACCTGTGACAAACATCTTAGATACAGCATAGGGTAGAGATGCTTTTAATCTGAAAATTGTGTCTCTTCTCAATCTTAATGACTTTTAAAGATCACAAAAAAAAACCCCAAAAAAATGCACCTTTTCAGCATAGCTGGTTAGGTAGGACCCAGGAAGATCTGGCATCGAGGCTGTCTCAAATCCAATCTCTGTTCGCAGATCTTTCCACTGGTCTGTCTCCAGACAGTAGCAGAGAGTGTGACTGACCTCACCACGCTCCTCTGTCTTGTGGATGTAGATGTAGCTCTGAGTGGTGGCAGGCCTAGCGTCAGCAAGCAGACCTTCATACTGAGTCTGTCTGCTCAGGGCTCCCGACAGAAGTGAGAGACAGGACTCGTCACTGCAGAGCAGAGCGTTTGAATCTCGCAAAGCCTGTGATTGAAGACGAGAGGTTATACAGAAAATATGTTAGAATATTCAGTCTCAATATTATGTAAGTTTCCATTACATTCAGAGTCATAAAAAATGTTTCCACTCTTTATATTGCCTTTTTTTTTTCACTTAAAGGCATAGTGGAGAATCTTTTTCTTCCAGGTGGATCATCTGAACCATTGGTCCGCATTACTGGTAATCATTCTGGTGACGCTTCCACGCAAGGCTGTCGTGCGCTCCTGGGTTAGTTTTCACGTCTTGCGCATGTGCATTCTGTTTATGTATGAAGCAATATGCCTTCATTCCTTCCTGTTCTCACCGGGTTCTTTTGAGAGTCACAAGAGAAAAAGTGTCTGAAGTCTATGATAAAAAGAAAAGGCCTCTGGTGTGGTCGGGCTTCCCACAGACTCCTCTGTCGCTGGTTTTTTGCTCGACAGGTAAGCTAAAGTTCAGCATGCTATTTGGAGAAATTAAATTCAAATTACTGGTAGAAGTGCTGCAAGGCCGGCAGCTACGTGTAAACAGATCATGCACGAGGATAACTGGGCGTTCACTCTCACGCTCATTTTTTCAAAATGTGGAGAGAAACATCCTCCGCCATACCTTTAAATTTTTCAAATCTATATGAATATTAATAAGCAGTTAATAACTGCATCCTTTACAGCTAAAACTGTATTGCAGCAACAAGTCTAACATCGCTGCTGAGAGTTATGTCCCACTCTTCTTTGAAGAACGGTTTTTGATCCGCAATGGAAAGTTGGTCACTATGTTCTCTTAGAAAAGGCTAGATTCTCCTTTGTGACAACAACAGTGACCGTTTGTGTTGTAAAGCACCTTGGGGGGTTGTAGAACTACAGGAGGGACTATTTATTCACACTTTTTGTTTTTTGGTCAGCAAAGATTTTGTTTTAGAAGCTTTGCATGAGGAATGATGTGATAATTTTGGCAAAAACTCAAGTCTGAGGTAGCTTGTGTTGTGAAGCTGAACGCAGCTTTCCAATCAATACAAATAAGTACAGTTAATTTCAATTTGTTAAGGAGAAATTTTCTTTTTCCCAATTTGGTTTGGAAATGTTTTGTTCCTTCATAAAAATCCTCATTTGAAAACTTCATTTATCTGTATCTAAAATTTGACTGCCGATCTAAACAAAAGCAAAAAAAATGTAAGCGTTTTTACTGCCCTGTGTCTTCTCAGTTGATAAAAATCTGTAAGACAAAGTGATTGTAAATGAATGTGCATTACAGAATTTTACAAATTTAGATTTTAAACATATTTTTATGTGCATCAGATTAATTTTATGGTTAACGTCAACTGTTGGTGGATTCCCCTTGCAGTGGTGCAGTTAGCCTTAAAACAGACATTTCCAGATGATATTAAAAAAATACCAGACAGTAATATGTTCTGACTATTTGACTGTCTTCATACAATTGTTTTCTACCTTCAGCAAAGCTGCAGGCAGGTGATGCAGTCGTGTCAGGGACATCAGTCCTGGTAGCAGTTTCTGTCTTCCAGGCAGATCATGGCGAATCCATCTGAGAAGCGCCATTATAACAGCCTCTTCACTGGGCACATTCAGGGCGTCTGACTTCAGGCAGGCCTCTAAGATGTTTTTCTGAAAGTAACAAAAGAAACCCATTCTCCCCCAGTCTACAGAACACACCATTTAAAGTTTAGCTTTCTGAACTGAGGTACCTGCATATCTAGGAACTCCTGGGTTTTGGAAAGGTCATAAAAGTTCTGAACCACAAACTCGTTGGCATTGTGCAGAAGAGAAGCGGAGCCATACGCCTCTCCCAGAGACAACAGGGAAAGACAGTTAGAGAGATCCATGGATCCTATCAGAAAGTCACTGCATGCTCTGGACAGGATGGAGACCTGAACACACAGCATAGTAGGTTAAATTATCATGAGATAATGCTAGAATGTACTCAGTGTGACTGAAGACATGTTTATGGTGCATCCTAAGGGTGAGGCATTCTGACAATGATTGTAGCTCTACCTGCAGAAAAGAGGAAATCTGAAACAGCATGTCCACATTCCCATCATTGATGAGAGTCTCTCCAGAGTAGGCAAAGTCCAGGAAAGAAGCCACAGCCACTGGACACTGATGCAGAGTTACTGATCCATCACCACACTCTCGCATATCTACCTCAAACATGGCCCTAAGCACAGCAATTACATGAATTAGACTGTATAGACAGACAGACAGACAGACAGGCAGAAAGACAGGTAGGCAGGCTACCTAAAGAAATCACTGCATGCTGCAAGAACACAGCGATGACAGGGGAAACTTTGTTCCTGTACCCTGATGATGAAATCAAACAACAAGCCTCGTTCTCTGAAGGACCTGAGCACACACAGAAGCTGCAGTCCATGGGTCTCTGACACACGAAGCAGTGTCCGTCTCTCTGGGAGCCCGTTGTCCTGTGGTGCACTAACAGTTTGACCTCTGGGAGGGCTGGAGCTGCTGGGGTTGTGGGAGGTAGTCAAACTGGCAAGTGACTCTGGATACTCATCCATATTGCCAAAACCTAAAATAATAATAACAATAACGATTATGATTATGGTTGCACAAAACAAATAAATATGTTTTGTATTTGCAATAAAAAAACCACTAAAAATAAACAATAATCTATTCTAATAACTAAAATAAACAGTGTGTGCACGCTAAGAACAAATTACTTCAGCAGCCCTATCATTTACTCTTGTCTCTATTTTAACCCTAAAACCAATATATGGGTGTTTAGCTCACTTGCGGCTCAAGTTAAATTTGTTACACTTATGTCGTGTTTTCATATCTCAAATATGAGACTGTAATACACTTGAAACTATTCAACAAAGCAATGTGGAACGAGAAGAGATACTCACGGGTTCAGCACCTCGGATAGCTCCTGTCACGTTTCGTTCTAACCTCCGGAAACGTAAAATAACGCGATAACTCGCGCAGCTTTTTGTTTTGGGTTTTTTCTTGTCAGGTCTTTGGCTTCTTACATAATTTAAATTGAAACTTATTTTGTTCAAGCGACAATTATAACACACTTGTCATAGCTACAACGGTCTAGCTGTATGCTAGTGTGCAGCTTGAGGGACGGGAGCGCAAAGGCGCCTGGGAACTGTAGTTCTCTTTTTATGAGAGCGTATGATAAAACCTAAACCATCGACATATATACGGTTGAAACATTAGCCTATAGTGAAGTCCGACCTAGGTCAGCATCCAAGCGATGTCAGACATCTTTTCTTTTGTATTTTTTAGAGAAATGATGCTAAAACCATTCTGCAGACTCAAAATGGGCTAGCTAACTGAAACACCTAGACTTTTTGCACTTTTAACTAATCTATAATAATTGCATAAGTAATTGCACCTGTGTATACGGCAATAATGCATTTTTGGGGATTAGTTGGGACCTCATAAACATAGGCTAAAATAAAGACAGTTTTTACAATATTTTAAGTTTATATAAAACTAAATAAAAATAATTTAAATAAAAGCAAGTGTCCTTGAATAAAACGACTTTATGTGAGGATGAAGGGTCACAGGAGGTCTTAACCATCACTGTTATAAAATTCATAATTTACATTTTCTGGTTTGAACTTTCTCAACGAAAATTATTAGAGTAAATAAAATAATAAATCAGTACTAAGATTATATATAAGTGTAGGTATATATTTAACAAAAATGCCTAAAGAAATCCTAAATTCCCATGCTGGATCTTCCGAGTTCACTATTACCCTTAAATGCATCATAACCATCAAGTGGTGCATGCTGGTGCATTCATGGCCACTTGGTGGTGCTGTTTCACTGTGGAGAAAGCAACGGATAAAGCATGGGACCGAAATGAAGAGTGAATAAAACAGAAGAAAAAAAATCTGTATTGGTGAACATGAACTTCCACATATCCTGCAGTTTAATTTAACCACCACGCGCAGTTTATGACAAAATAACACGATTCTTCTGGTCTGAAATATGAATACATACTGATCTACAGTCAACGTGATCTGAATATGTAATAATAATAATAATAATAAATTAATGTGATTTTTTTAAAAAGGAATCATAAAGTCTTTATCTTGATCATTTTTCATCAGTAAACCAACCTATTCTATAGGAATGATTAAAGGATGGATATATCCGGATGCCATTCCCATAAAACAAAGAACTGCTGTTCAAATTGTAATTGTGAATAATACAAATCTATTTCCTTTCTATTATTAGACACCTTCCACTTTACATGTATCGGTGGGTCATGCCCCCACCTCTGCTTGCATCCCTGCATCCCTCCCTCCTTCTCTCCCTCCCGGCGGCAGTGCATCCCCCATCCCCCACACGGTGGCCGTCTCTCCGGTTGAAAGCTGTCTTCCCAGCCGCCTCTGGCCCGACAAAACGCTGCTGTAGCAGAGCCAGTCCGCACCAAGCCGAAGCTGAGCAGAACCACGGGAGAGTGCACGTACACACCAGGGGGAGTCTTTTTCTGTTCGACCGGGTGGTTTTGGTGAGTCTAACACGCTTTTTATTGCGGACGGAAGGAACGTCCATGTTTCTACTTTTTAAGTTGTTCGGTTTTTTTGTCTGTTTTTTTCCCTTCAATTGTCCTCCGTGAGGAACTAGCGGGCTATGCTATGCTAAGCGGCTAGCTCAATTAGCGGATTCTACAACTTGGCGCATCGGGAGTGTTTTAAGTTATTTACGGTCAGTCGTTAACATCGACCCTGGCTTTTCACGTGCCGCCCGGTCAAACTCAACCATGGTTAGTGTTAATTGTCTTTTCTAATCCGTTTCCCCGGCTAGAATGCTAATTATCGATTTGAGCAGCGTGTACGGATGGACGCAGGGATGCGGCGGTGGGTTAGCGGTTGTCTTTTCAGCCGAGCTTCCAAAGGCTAAGCTAATGGTAGTTTTATATGACACGGGTTCCTGCTAAGGTGTGCTATAACAGCCACTCTAAATTCAGCCAATCTAGTGTTAATTGGCAAGATGGCATCTCGGAGTTGTTATCCAGAAATCGGTGGATTTTCAAAATGGTGTCTTAAGCTTGTTTGAGTGTGACCATTTTTGTCCAACCAGTGCTGTTTTGGCTCCAGTTGCTATCTCTGTTATGCAGCGCATGCCATGCTTCGATATAATATCATGTAAATACTCAGCAACAACAAAGTAAACCGTGTCCTCAAGGCTGCAGACTGCGTTATTAGGCGTAAAGAAGATGTGTTTTGGGTGGGTTTTATTTGTCTCTCTTGGCTTTAATGCTGTCAGGTTCAACAGGAAAGAAGCATGACGCACATCCCAGCACACTGCTTTATCTGGATGTAATTACGTGTTTACAAAATGCATCACTGGATTGTTTTTATATTTTAACTTTTTTAATTGTGAATCCCAAAACTAATAGTCACAGGTAGGACTTGTGTCTTTTGAAAGACGTGATAATCTTACTGTTTATATTGTTAAACTGTAGGGGATGGTGTTTTTTCTCAGTAGTACTTAAAGAGACAATGTGTAGTATTTACCGGTAATCTCTGCAAATATCCATCGAAATGTTGTTGAAAACGAATAAAATGATGCCCAGTTGTAGAAAAACATTGGCAACTTCATAACGTATAACCTTAAAATACATGGAAGTCTTAGTCTCTGGGTGACACCATATTAGATGCCATGTTTCTTTTTATGGGAGCCAGTGAGGACATAATACATTCACTGATATGTAACAGTTACAAAACTTTATTCATTCATTAACATTGTTTTACACATTTACCTCTTCACTCGTTGCCAGTGATGAAAGAAGTCTGGTGTGCCTGTCATTTTGTTGGAGGTTGCACTCCCAGGGATTTTTTACCCCAAATGGCCATCCATTGGTAAGGTCTAAAGCCTCATTCATTCTTCTCCATCTGCGCAGGTGAGGAGACACGTAACGCTATTATGAGTCGGTGCAAGGGCTCGACAGTCTCACAGAGGGTGACAGAGACATGCCCAAATTTTTAAATATCTGTCAAAAGTGACGGAGAATGCTAGCTTGTGATTAGTCAGGACACCGCTTCCTTTAAATGTGTCAACAGCTCCGCCATTGTCCCGTCAAAGGTAAAAAGATATTTAGCGGCAGACACGGAACAGATTGAAGAACTCATCATGGGAAAAAATCCAAAAATATGAACGCGTATTCACCCGTGACTGAAATGTGGAGCAGATGTTTTATTAATGGACAGAAACGATGGGGAACGTGGGTTTAGAGGTGGCGACCACTTGAGATGTGGAGGAGGATGAAGGACAAATTCGCCTGTGTTATAAAGTCTCTGAAGTATAAAAACACATTAGTAAATACACCATCATGGACCGGATATATGAGTGTAATGGTGGCATGATGCCACAGAACAGCGCTATGCCCTCTGTTGTCTTGCGAGGAGTTGCTTTGCAACACTCCCCAGGAGACGAAGTGAGAGAGCAAAACGTCTCTGTCAATGCATGTGTGTCTCCCTTTACAGAGCTGACAGAGAAATATAAACCAGACTTAAAGCTTAATTTATATTCCTCCGTCAGCTCCACGAGGGAGACACATGCACTCACAGAGACGTTTTGCTCTCGGACTTCTCCATCTCCTGGGGAGTGTTGCAAAGCAACTCCTCGCCAGGACAACAGAGGGCACAGCGCTGTTCTGTGGTATCCTGTCATGTATCTGGTCCAACATAGAGCATTTACTATTCTGTTTATATTGTGTTTTTTGTATTTCAGAGACTTTGTAACATGGACAAATTTATCTCTCATCCTCCTCCACCTCTTAATGTGCTCACCACCTCTAAACCCACATTTCCCATCATTTCCGTCCACGGATAAAAGCTAGCTGCGTATCTTTTCACTCCCCCAGTCATGGGTGAATAAAACGTTCATATTTTTAGAATTTTTCCGTGAGGCATTCTTCAAGCTTCTCTGTGTCTGCCACTAAATATTTTTGGTTTTCTTAATGTTTTTTAGGGCGCGATGGCGGCACTGTCAACGACAGTGGCATCCTGACCAATCACAGGCTTGCGTTCTCCGTTTCGTTGGACAAATGTTTAGAAAAGAGAACTCGACTCCGTCCTTGCAAGCCTCCTGGAGAGCCCTCGAAAGGACAGATAATGGCGTTGTGTGCGTCCATCCCGACTCAGACCGGGAAGAATAAATTAGGCTTAAGTCTCTTGATGACGCCATTTTAGATTCTGTTTTCTTCTACCTCTTCGCTTGTTGTCGGTGATGAAAGGGAGTCTGATGTGCTCCTCAATTATTTATTAGAAACACTTTATTTTCATAAAATACAAACAATGTCATCTTCTAGTTAATTTTTATAAAGAAAATAATTTTAGACAAATGAGAGTATATTAAAATCAACAACACATCCTTTCTGGGATCTTCACACTGAAATTTGATATTGGCAGTTATGAACTAGGATAAATATTTTTTATTCTAAAGATGCAGTAAAAAGCGAGTCTAAGCTAAAGCGAATGCATCTCTCTTCAAAGAGTTCAAATGATTACAGGTCCTCGTTGGATTGCGTCATCAGCCTAAGGTGACCTCTGCCTGGTTATACTGTGGGGGGTGTCTCCTGTGTGTGAATAATGGAGTCTACAAGGCAGCTGTAAAACCGTCAGACCATTGAAAGCTGGAGCCATAAAATGTTTCGACAGAAAATGGTTCTCTTACAGACGACAGTCTTTTCAGCACTTCAAATAGCATAACGATTAGCTTGCAACAAACAAGTGAATTAAACAAATGGCAGCTGAAGAGTTCGGCTAACTTCCGGTTTATCTTGTCCAGATCTGTATCATTCGATTAGATATCTTTTATTTATACTGGTAGATCCAGCTAATTAAATTTCTACACTAATGATGTAAGTAAATAAAAGGTGACGATTCATTCAAACTGTGCGTTATTAAATCTCTTAGATCAGGGTTGGGGAACCCTGGTCCATCGAGGGTTGCTATCCAGCATATGTTAGTTTCAACCCTGCGTCATCACACCTGATTTCAATCAGCAGGTGATTAACAGGCTTCTAGAGAGCTGATGAGCTGCAGAACAGGTGAATCAACCACTGAATCAGAAGTGCTGGAGCAAAGACATGCAGGATGCCAGCCCTCGAGGACCAGGGTTCCCCACGCCCGCCTTAGGTCATCGATGGAGGGTTAGATGACCTATCTAATAAAAACAATAAGTATGGCAAAAAATGTGTGTATTGTTAATTGGAAGTTCATAAGTTGTGTTTGAGCTGTATAAAATCCACAGGAAAGCTCAAGATGAATTAACTACAAGACACATAGTTTATTTAAATGTTCTCAAATATATTTATGGTTCATTTTGATCACTGAATTCAACAAAGAAAAAATACACTCCAGACAAATAAATTCCTTAAGATGACATAAAAATACCATTCGTCATTAAAACAGGAGCCACTTTTCGCCCATAAAACACTTTATATTTTTTCTAGATCAGACAATTAATAACAACAAAATGGTTTTCATTTGCTGAGAAACTCGTTTTAATGATCTCATGACTACAGCTCACAGCATTCATATATAATCTGAGCACTGAGGAGTCTTTGGCACGCTCTAGGATTATGTGTGCATAAATATCAGCTGAAGATGTGAGTTTCCAAATTAATCTCTGAAATTTTACTTTAAAGGATGTTTTAAAACATTTCAAGTAAAAAGAAATTGCCCATTTCAGCAATTCTAAAGAAAAGGAGTAAACAATCGGAAGAGCTGAAAACGTTTTGTCTCACCTCTCTGGTTTTCTTTTAAAGATGAACATCTTTATGCTGTCCTTGTTCATTGCTACGTGGTCATTTATTGTTTCTGTAGGCGTGTGCGTGCTTGTATTTGTACAACAGCAGGTGTGAAAAAGCACAAGTAATAAAATCTGAGGATAAAAGGGGGTGATGTGATCCCTGGGGGTATACTTAAAATGCATTCATCTTTCAGTCATATTAGGATCTAAAAAGGTGTACATGTGCACACAGACACATATCTGCAGGCTATTAGTTCATTACTGATGCTTGGCTACTCTCGTGACTAATGGGGCTTTTATGCACCTTAAATCGAAGCCTTTCATTTAAATTAACAGCAGCAAAAAAGTACATTCTAAGAGCTATAAATCCTGCTATAGTAATAGGATTATTGGTGAGTTTAATTTTTATTGTTTGGGTTTTAATGCAGATTGATTATCAGTTATACACTTGACTGATTGCGTTATAATATTATGGATGTGCAATACGTACAATCTTTCGAACTCTATTTGTTATGATGATGGGCAATATTGTCGTGCATGCAACAGGCCTGACGTGCACTGCACGCAGCGATCTACTAATCACAATTGTTCTCATCAGTTTGTAGATGCAAGGGGGTGGCACTCCTCATGCTCAAAATTAGGGCTGCGCGATATTAGGAAAACCTGCGATATTCGATAACAGTGCTTAATATTGCTATATCGATATTACTCACGATAAATGAACAAATACTAAAGTATGCAGTGTTGATGTCGTCTGGCGTGTGACGTCTGCTCTGGGTTCAAAGCGAACAAAAACTAATGCATGAATTCCATTACAACATAACATTTTTATTGCAAAAATATGCACCTGCTACTGTATTAGCAGCAAAACAACAAACTGCATGCATGCAGTTTCTCAGTGACTTTAAGACATCACCTCCACCATAAAACTTTTTCTGATGCTCCAAATACAGAAAAACCTCCCTTACCAGGGTTTTTTGAATAAATAAAAAAAATCAGAAAGTA